CTTTTTCAAGGGAGACCTGCAGCATATAGGTTCCACATGAAACAATAAAGGACATTATATTTACAGGATACATTTACATAGTTATAGACATTTACAAGTGGCCATAGTATCAACGAGCATTTCATTTAGCCTAGCTTTAAAAACATGAAGAGGAATGAGATTGCTCAGTTTCAATTCTTGCTGAAGACTGTTCCAAGCAAATGGAGCTGCGCACATAAAAGCTGTCTTACCTAAGACAGTCCTTGCTCTTGGCACATCTAACAATACTACATCATGCGATCTCAGACAATAGCTGCTTGCAACTCTCTGTGTTATCAGAGAGCAGATATAATATGGGAGTTTACCCAACAAAGCTTTATAAATAAATGTGTACCAATGACTGAGCCTCTTTACAGTAAGTGATGGCAGACCTGCCTTGGCATACAGGGTACAGTGATGAGTAAGTGCTTTACAATTTGTGACAAATCTCAGTGCGCTGTGATAGGCGGCATCTAACTTGTTCAGGCAATAGGCAGGTGCATTCATATACAACAAATCACCACTGCTACGCTGACGACACCCAATTAATTCTGTCCTTTCCCCAGGTCGTCGCACGCATCTCTGCTTGTCTAGCTGATATCTCTCAGTGGATGTCTGCTCATCACCTCAAGCTCAACCTTGACAAGACTGAGCTGCTCTTCCTTCCGGGAAAAGATTGTCCCACTCTTGACCTAACAATCAACATCGGCACCTCAGTTGTTTCCCCGACTCAGACTACAAGGAATCTGGGTGTGACCCTAGATAACAACCTGTCCTTCACTGCAAACATCGCTGCTACAACCCGTTGCTGCAGATACACGCTTTACAACATCAGGAGGATGCGTCCCCAGCTGACACAGAAAGCGACGCAGGTTCTGGTCCAGGCTCTCGTCATCTCACGCCTAGACTACTGCAACTCCCTCCTGGCTGGTCTACCTGCATGTGCCATCCGACCTCTGCAGCTCATCCAGAATGCAGCAGCTCGTCTGGTCTGCAACCTTCCTAAATTCTCCCACACCACTCCGCTCCTCCGCTCCCTTCACTGGCTTCCGGTAACTGCTAGAATCCACTTCAAGACACTGGTACTTGCTTACCATGCTGCGAATGGATCTGGCCCTTCCTACATCCAGGACATGGTTAAACCGTACACCCCAGCACGTGCACTACGCTCTGCATCAGCCAAACGACTCGCTGCACCCTCGCTGCGAAGGGGACCCAAGTTCCCATCAGCAAAAACACGTGGGTTTGCTATCCTGGTTCCAAGATGGTGGAATGAGCTCCCCATTGACATCAGGACAGCAGATAGCTTACACATCTTCCGGCGCAGACTGAAAACTCATCTCTTTCGACTCCACTTCGAGCGATAGAACTATTAACAAAGCACTTATATACTAATAAAGGACTGGCTTATCTAAAGCCAGTTGAGTAGCACTTGAAATGTTTGGCTCTATGAAACCTGATGTACTTATATGATTCTGTTTTCTTCAAGTTTGTGTCTTCCTGGTCGAATGTACTTATTGTAAGTCGCTTTGGATAAAAGCGTCAGCTAAATGCAATGTAATGTAATGTAATAGTCCAGCACAGGTAAAAAGGTCAGTGACTAGCCTTTTCCTGGCTTCAAAAGAGAAACAGGACTTGTTTCTGAAAAAGAAACCTAGTCTAACCCTCAGCTTTTTAAGCAGGTTATTGACATGAAGTTTAAAAGTAAGACAATCATCAAGCCAGATACCTAGGTATTTATAACTGGTAACCACTTCAAGTACTTGTCCTTGCATAGTAAAAATATCCAAAACAGGCTCTGGTGTCTTTTTAGCTTTTGAAAATAGCATTACCTTGGTTTTATCAACATTTAAAATAAGCTTAAGTTCAGCAAGCTGAGTCTGAATAATGTTAAAAACAGCCTGTAATTTAACACCAGCCTCCTTAATGGAGGGACCTGCACAATACATCACGGTATCATCAGCATAAAAATGTAAAGTAGTTTCATCCACATTTTCACCTAAACTATTGATGTAGATGGAGAATAAAAGTGGACCTAAAACAGAACCTTGAGGAACACCATTAGCAATGTTTAACCACTCAGAAGACAGCCCATCAAAGTGAACACATTGGGGCCTTTCAGAGAGGTAGTTCACAAACCAACCCACTGCATGGCTGGATATGCCGATACTGAGTAGCCTCTGCTTTAAGATGCGATGATCGACGGTATCAAACTATTTGGAAAGGTCAATAAATAGAGCTGCACAACTCTGCTTATTGTCTAAAATACTCGTAATGTCATTCACCACTTTCATTGTGGCAGTGATGGTGCTATGTTGTTTTCTGAAGCCTGACTGATGTTTAGACAGGATATCATTTTTACATAAAAACTCCTTTACCTGTTCACTCACTAGGCGTTCGAGCACCTTCGCCAGAACTGACAATTTAGAGATTGGCCTATAGTTATTTATCCTTTTAGTAAAGGCAAGACATAAGCTGACTTCCATACTTTTGGAATTGCATTTGTGCTGAGGGAGAGGTTAAAAAGAGTAGTAAGAGGAAGAGCAATAAAATCTGCAGCTATCTTTAAAAAGAAAGGTTCTACGTTGTCCGGGCCAGCCGGTTTCTTAGGATCTAGCTTAGATAAGGCTTCATGAACAACATTGACAGTAAAAGGAGTAAAACTGAAAGGGTTTTCCAGACCACATTGTTCAGAGTCACGGATTGGGGTGTTCACAGAAGCAGAGTTAGTCACAGAATCAAACATAGAACCGCAGGACACAAAATGCTCATTAAAGCAATTTAGCATAGTAGCCCTGTCCGATATAGTGCCAGATGCTGTGGTGAGGCACGGAGGTAGCTCATTACGGATCTCACCGGTGGATATCGATTTTATTGCTTTCCAAAATTTCCTAGGATTATTTAGGTTTTCTGTGGTAACTGACAAATAGTACTTCGACTTTGCACTTTTGACATTTGAAGTGAAGCTATTCCTTAGCTGCCTAAAATGCAGCCACTCTACCTCTGAGCCTGATTGCCTAGCCTTTGCCCAGGCCTTGTTTCTCTCATGAAGGAGACTAGACAGCTCAGCAGAAAACCAAGGATTGTCTCGTCCCTTTACTCTAAATTTACGCAGGGGTGCATGTCTATCAATGATCTCCATAAAACCAAGACACTTACAGTTTACAGTCACTGGGGATGAATTGCAACCTGTGGCTGACCTGGAACTACCACGTTTTCGGTTTCCACACAGAGGACAATTGCTGAGCCTTACATACAACAGATATTAGCTTTCTGTTTTATATTGATGAGAAACAGGAAGTGCTCATACCAGATTGGTCTTCAGCATCTTAATATGGAACTTGTTGACCCTTTGCACACACAAAGGCAAGACTGAAATAAAATACACTTAAGGAGTTAGTAAAAAAAAAAGCAATAAAAGATCCACCTCTGTTGTCCCAAGAAGAAGCAAAAATCTATGGTACTTACTGACGCTGTGTCATTCTTTGTTTTGTGTAAATGACTCACAGGCTACGGGGTGTGTTTCAAAACTTCTATTGGTTCGCTTACCTAATGAAATAAGTTGGAATACATCTTCACTCTGCCAAATAAATGAGCCCTAAAGCTCTCTAATATTCTCTACTGCTACATGAGAGTTATGGTAATGAATGAGTATGAGAACGTTTATATAGATACCAACTTGAATGCAGTGACTGAGTTAGTCAATATGCTTTAGGTATAGGCTAACTCAGTGTCTAAGATGCAAAGTCAATAACTTTAACCTACTATTAGCATATCCATACGTTCGTATATATTTAGAATAATAGATTATTTAGGCCTACTAACCTTTGTTGTTGGCCTAATAGAGAGAATCTCTGTGACATTATAAATACATTAACCTTTATTAATACACTTGATTCACTTAATTACTTAGATGCAGAAGTGGAAAGTAACTAAGTACATTTACTAAAATACTATACTTAAGTACAATGTTGAGGTACTTTTACTTTACTTGAGTATTTCCATTGTGTGCCACTTTATACTTCTATTCCTCTACAATAAAAAGGGAATTCATGTACATTTTACTCCACTACATTTATTACAGCTTTAGCTACTTTAAACAAAATGCATCTCTAAAAATTAAACTAGTGGATTAATTCTTTAAGTCACAAAAGAGTCAAATGATATAAATATTTTACAAAAAGTAAATCAGAACTTTGTTTGTCCATAAAAGTGAAATGCTATGATGCAACAATATTATCTAGAAATGTCACATATATAAATATAATTACACAAAGGCAATTTTTCTGCACAATGATAAATCGTACATGTTATACTTTAAGTACATTTAGCTGCTAACATGTTTGTACTTTTACTTGTAATTAAGTATTTTTTTAAATAATGTATTGGTACTTTTACTCAAGTAAAGCAGCTGAACACTCATTCCACCACTGCTTGGATATATTTTAATAACGACGTTTTTTTTTAAAGGTTCCTAATACCTATAGAATTTTTTTCTAGATTATGTGTGGGCAACTTTACCCAATCTGAAATATATTTTACACAGGAAAAGGGTTGGTTCATGAGGTAAAGGTAACCTTTTGTCAATAGGAATATACTTTATAACAGCATAGTTTTGCTTGATAATAATACAAGACACTTTACAGGGTTAAAAATGAATAAATAAAAAGATAACAAATGTAAATAAAATCGAACAATGAAACAACATAACACAAAGAGACAACAGTAGCCTACGTTAAAAGTCCTTCTGAAAAGGTGAGTTTTGTTCACTGTCTTAATGTTTGAGGGGTCAAACTCAGTACAGTACTTAGGTAACTTGAGTGTTTGTCGTTGTGGCTAACTCTTTCTAATAAAACCTGTTGGTCCCCGGACTAATGCAGACCGTACGCCCTGTCATGGAGCAGCTCCAGGAGGCTCTCAGCCTGTTGCTGCACGTCCTCCTCTCTTCCGTGAAAACATGCTCTGCTGCTGTCAGCCTCAGACCACTCCCTCTCAGTCTCGGAGGGAGCGGAAGAGCAGTCAACTACTTTTTCTGTGCGGCTGTTTAAAGACTATGTTCCCAGCAGAGAATGGCGGACGTCACAATTGAGGAGCTGCAGTGTGAGCTTACCTGCCCGGTGTGTCTAGAGCTGTTCAGGGACCCGGTCATCCTCGAGTGCGGACACCACTTCTGCCAGGTGTGCATCCTTCAGTGCTGGGAAGTCAAGGCCGACGAGTTGTCGAGTTGCCCAAAGTGTAGAAAGTCTAGCGGCGGGAGACTGCGACCCAACTCGCTGCTGTGCAACGTGGTGGACAGTGTGCGCAGAGCCCGGTGCATGGACACGGCCTCGGGGATAACCGGGTGGGACTCAGGGGGTCCTCTGGAGGAGCCGGAGGAGCGGGAGCCGGGGTCCAGCATGAGCAGCCTGGCCTCCTCCACCGGGCACTGGCCGCGCCTGGGCATGGATATGTGCGAGGAGCATGAGGAGAAGCTGAAGCTCTACTGTGAGGACGACCAGCTCCCCATCTGCCTGGTTTGCGGCATGTCCAGGGACCACAAGACCCACAATGTCATCCCCATTACAGAGGCCTTTGAAAACTACAAGGTACGTTCTGATTGGCTGAGTTAGGCACGTTTTTTTTTACCAATAGATTGAGTCTAGCTAGGCCTAAATTAGGGGATAATCTTACTGTAAAACCACTATTACAAACGTTCCTCTCTAAGATAAAGAACGTGGTGATCATTATTTGACCATGGTCATTATTGATCACTAAACTTAAAAGTATTTTAGTCTTTTAGGGAGTGCCATGCATGCTCCTCTGACACACCTCTCCTTGTTCTTGGAAATAAACATATCTCAGGTTTGTCAAGCATTCCTAAATATCAAAGGAAACCTAGTTTATAAGGATTGTATTTAATAAATGAACTCATTTGCTCTGGCTTTAGCAGATGTGGTGAAATGGCATTTATTATTTTAAAGCAGGCCCCCTTGTTTGCCTTGGCAGCCTTTGGGTGTTTTGCTATTTACAGGAATTCAGCAGAACAGTGTGAGCTCCTTTAACGCCCCCTATGCTTTTAACCCGACAGCTGACCATCATCAGTTCGTTTGAAGAGTCTCCGAGAGGCCTCTCATGTTTCACCAAGACAGAATTGTCCACTTTGTTTGAATTTGTGGCTCTCAGCAGTCTGTTGAGGACAGGGTGTGCATCATATGACTCCCATTAAGGATGTTGTTGTTTTTCAGAGCCGATACACCAATTTAATCAACTTTTAAGTATAATCCAGTTTAGCAACACCACCTCTGTTTGATGTTTAGCATGTGATTGTTTATTTGTGCTGCAGGATAAGCTGTCTATCGCTCTGGAGAGGGTTGAGCTGCAGACAGAGGAGGCCACGCTGTTCCAAAGCCAGACCAATGAAAGGATCCTCCTCATTAAGGTATACAGATACATGTGTTTATTTGTTTGTGAAGCATTGGGAAACACCCTGGACATAATCCCAGCAAATACATACGTGTGTGTGTTTGCCTGTGAATTGAACCTGCATTTCTGGTCATCAAGAAACATTCCTCCACCTTTACCTGTCTGACAGCGAGACTGATTGATGACTAATCCTAACTATGACGGGCAATGACACAACAGGTTGTTACTCAGTGTGGTTTGTTCTTATGTTTTGCAAATGTAGAAGTTCCTCCTGAAATGACACAGGTGGTAAATAAACATTCATGCACATCATCCCGTTTGTCTTTCTCACAGTATCTTTTTTCACAAATGCGGCCCTCAGGTCTCTTATCTAAAAGTAGCGATACCACAAAGTAAAAATACAATTTATTTGTTTATGTATCGTATTTATTATCTGAATCTGCACAGTAACACAAATGTAATATTGTCAGATACATTTTGTGGAGTAAAATGTGCAATATTTGCTTCCAAAAGCAGTGAAGTAGAAGTGGCATAAAATGTAAATACTTAAGTAAAGTCCCAGTACCTCAAACTTGTACATAAATTCAGTACAGGTTAAATACTTACGTAACTTTCTACGACTGGTTGACACACACACACACACACACACACACACACACACACACACACACACACACACACACACACACACACACACACACACACACACACACACACACACACACACACACACACACACACACACACACACACACACACACACACACACACACACACACACACACACACACACACACACACACACACACACACACAATGTCTCACAACCTCACAGAAAGAGATAACAGCTGGCTGAATTTATGCTGTGACGCTTTATCCAGCACAGCAGCTCTTACCTCATATAGTGGTCTGTTTGTGTGTGGGTGCGCTTGTGTGTGTTCAACCGAGAAATTAGTGTAGCATGTTTGCTTTGTTAAAGTGTTTTTTGCTGCTACACATATCTCTGCTCTAGGTTATTACACATTTTTCTCTATCCTGTCTGTCTACTTGTCTCAGCATGTCTGTCTATCTGTTTGACACAGTTTATATGCACATTCACAGATTTTCACTTCTGTTTCTCTGCCGGTATGACAGGATGTGGGTCAACAAGTTTCAGAGGAAGTTTGGCAAGCTTTTTTTCCGGCCAATTTCTCTTAGTCTGTGTGTGTGTGTACGTTTCTTATCATTATTGCTTGTCTTCCTATCAATCTTTTTCTCCATCTACCTGCGTCAGCAATAAAGGAAGTATTGCTCTCCTTTACTTAGAAACGTAAAAGGTCCTGCATTGATTATTGCTTGAAGGGGAACCCCACCTCACATCAACATCCGTTCACAGGTCATATTACGGCATATGTGAAAAAAGTGTAAAGCTCCAGAAAGAGCTACACAAAGTCAGATTAATATATTTTCAGGCTAATGACGAAAAGCTACTTTAGCTGCTAGCATAACACCTAAATCTCAGATCAAGCTGCATTATGGGTAATTTAAGTGGAAAGTTTTGACATAAAATGCAAATGTTTGAAATGAAAAAGACCATATTTTGGTTCTGCTGTGTAAAATGTCATCCCACTTTAAAAAAAAACGGTCCGTCTTTGTGTGTGAAAATGATGGCAATGCTAAATTGGTTCATTCTGATAAAATAAACTTTTAAATATTAAAAGCAAGCAGGTATATCAGAAGCTTTTGACCTTTTTTTGGTTTAATTTAGATGTTTAAAATGTCAGATTACTTTGGCCTCGTGTTGAAACTGTAAATATTTACAGTCTATGGTTAAAACTGAAACACTACAACTCCTCTTCCATGTTCTAGCTAATGGGGTCCTCTGTGTTTTAGGAGCGAGCAGGAGACCTGGAGGAGATGGTCACCGCAGAGTTTGGCCGTCTGAGGGAGTTCCTGCTTGAGGAGGAGGAGCGCATAAAGGTGAAACTTCAGAGGCAAAAAGAGCAGAAACTCAAACAGCTGGAGGAGGCGCTCACTGAGACCACAGAGCAAATCAGCCAAATGGAAAATATAGCCGACGAGCTTCGCCTCAAACTGACAGAAGAGGAAAACCCTGAGCAACTCAAGGTATGAGAGAAAAGTAATATATGATGCTCATGATGCTTGTAGAGCACATTTATTTTACCCCATATAAAAAGTCTGAAAATACCAAAGAATGTTGATATTCTATTCTAGATGTGCAGTTTTAGATATTATCTGCATGTTACAGTAAAGAGTGAGGTATTTTGTAATCATAGGCTTGTTTTGATCTGCTCTATTTCAGGGAATCAAAGACTTCATTGGAGGGTGAGTATTATCACAATTGATCATTATCGCTAATGTCTTAGTTACTTATTCATTTCTAGATAATCTCCTGGTCTTCTTGTACTTGACTGTTGCCCTAAATCTAAAGTCACAATGGTGTATTGTTTTGTAATTATCTTTGAGTGTTGCTGAAACAGGATGTTGAGGCATTGTTGTGGTTTATCATGTTATCTTTGACAAACATTGTCACGCCAACTAGTGACCACTAGGTAGCAGTCTTACCATTTGCCAGTGTTCTGTTGACATTTCTTCTTAAATAGGTGTAAGAATGCAGATACAATGTAATTATACGACTCAAGTCCACACTGCTTGCTGTACATGGCTTAAATCTTCACTTTTCTAAGTCGTTTAATATATATTGGTCTTGTATTTTATAAGAAACATAAATTGTTTACGTATGTGAAAGGACAACAATACCATAACAGTTGTAGTAAGGTGTATACACTAAAGCAGCCACAACAATAGATATATATTATGGGAAGTGAAGTGAAAAGGCTTTTTGCTTTAAGTTATTTTATCTCTCATTGTCTCTTTTTCTTTCCCTCCGTCAGGGCTCAGAGTTTTTTTGAGCAGCCCCCAGAGGTGACTGTGGATCTGCAGTCAGGAGAGTTCCTGGGACCTCTGCAGTACAGGACATGGAGGAAAATGAGCTCAATTTTTCAGCCAGGTAGTTAAACACCTAACACAATTATGAAAGCAATGGCAATAAATGCGGCAGAGGCTCAGTTGTATCAGTAAAGCTTAACAAAAACGTAATCTTATATTGCAACTCCGGGTTCTGTGAAACATTGGCAGTTTCCAAGTCTGTGCCTCTTTAAAAAACATTTTCCTTTATCTATTAATACTTGATTTATTTGCTTTGTATTTTATGTTCTGTCTCATTATCAACATGCTCTGCCTAGAGAAGTTGGACAACATGAGTTTTAAACTCGACTGTACCTGTTCTCCAAACTTCTGTCTTATTGGGTCAAAGTCAAGATTTATTTGGGGTCATTTGAGTCAATGACATGTAATCATGCATTGTTGTTGATCGTGCAACACTAGACTGCACTAAAGAATGGAGTTACATCTTGACGCATATCATTTATATTTTATTTGTATCCATGTAGCTGATGCTCTTATCTAGCTCGTCTTACACTAATTAGACAGGAAGGCATTCATTCATCTAGTTGAAGGTCACAGCCAGTCTTTCTCTGTCAACAAGTTTGTTGTTGAATTGCAACATTTCTAACCCTTCTCATGTTATGGCCCTCTTAGCTATCACCGCTGTGACCCTTGACCCGAACACAGCTTACCCCTGCCTGTGGGTGTCCCCGTGTTGCACCAGCGTCCAGGTGGGGAGAATCCAGACCAACCTGCCCAACAATCCAGAGCGCTTCACCCGCTACAACATCGTGCTGGGCTCTGAAGCCTTCTCCTCTGGGAGACACTACTGGGAGGTGGAGGTGGGCAACAAGACAGCGTGGGGTCTGGGCGTGGCCACCGCCTCCGTCAACAGGAAGGAGGAGATCAGCCTCTGCCCAGATGACGGCTTCTGGACCCTAGTGCTGAGGGACAACGGTGACGGCAACAGCGAGTACGAGGCATGCACTGACTCAGAGGAGACCATGATATATCCCTCCAAACCCCCCAGCAGGGTGGGGGTCTATCTGGACTATAGTTCTGGTGACGTTGGGTTTTATGATGCAGGAAACATGGCCCACCTCTTCACCTTCTATGGTGCAACATTCAAAGAGCCTGTTTTTCCGTACTTTAATCCTTGGCCAATTATCAACGGATACAACAGGGAGCCCCTCACCATAGTTACACCACACTGGGGATAGATTCCCCCTTCATCTCAGAACAGATCCAGAATAAAACTGCAGGACAAAGTTAATCAGATGTGGTGATAATGAACTTGGCAGTGACCCTGAAACGTGAGACTTTAAATAAGAAGATGAAACTACTAAAGAACAAGACAAGTGTCAGACAATGTCAGACAAGTGAGACTTTAGAACACATGGCTGTTGATACTCTATTTGTCTTATGGTCAACACATCAAAGAAAATATTTGTAATGTTGAATAGATGTGTGCCTGGCCTCTCTGGACGAGCTTTCACTACGAGCCCCGGCATGTTTCCACCTGACACCGTCCGTGAACTTCATTCGCAATTCTCAGATTGTCTCATTGATGTTATCATGTTCCCGATTAGCAGTTAGTCTAAATCCAAAAATATTGCGAAGTAGGTGCTTTTCGCTTTGACATCAAATCCTCCGCCTTCCTGTTTCTCAACTCTCCGTGATAAACAAATGTGACACCCCCGCTGCTCTGTGCTGCAAATCTGCCGCTGTGAGGATCAGGCACTTTCAATTTGTTGTTACCGTGTCCACCAATTCGACTAAGAATGTGGTTTTATTTCTATAAAAAAAGGCTAAAAGAGAGTGGGGGCAGTTGGGAAGTAATTGAATCAGTGTATGCCAGAACACTGTTTCACCAGAAAAACTGACTATGATGGCCTACTAACAAATACTGTCTGTGTAGCCAAATACGGATATATTTCATATCTTTATGACATATAGGAACTTCTTTGTATTTGAAATGATAGGAAGTGCCATCAACCTCATGGCATGTTTACTGCCCTGATGCATTGTGAGCTGTGACACTTTAGACAGGTGTGCTTTTCCAAGTCATGTTGGTTGGTTAGTCAGTTATCAACTGCAAATATCACAACTGGACTCCAATCCCACCTTTGAAACCTCTCAAAGATGATTAAGAGAAATGAGGGACATCTGAGATACATTTTAAGAGCCAAAGGGTCTTCTTATGTCATCATTAACTTTTTTTTTTTTTAATACATTTGCTTGTTAAACCTGGTTTCACTTTGTCAGCACAAGCTTTTAAGAAAACATTTCAGTAAACATGAATGGGCTTGGGGCTGGGAGCCAAATGAGTACAGAGAAACAGACTACTTTTTGTGTTGCTTTTAGTGTTGAAGAATGGCTATATCCTATTTTGTATTTGTTCTGAATTCATTAGAAAAGTGGTAGGTCATATCACTTTGTAATGTAGCCAAAGACTTAAAGGGTCCATGACAAGTTTTAGATTTGTAGGAGCCTATGAGTTATCATGTGACAGCTAGCTGGTGCTCAAAGATACACACAATGCCATTTGGACACTGAATGGTTGTGTGAAAAAACATTTCAAAATTGTATTAACAGTCGATGCAAAATATTTTATTGTGTGTTTTGGAATAATATCTAACATTATAATATCATATATTTTAAAACCGTTTTATAGCCGTTATATATCCAATCATGTTATTCTAATAACATGTAGAGTTCAACTGAGGAAATGATGTGTAAAGCAGATGACTACTAATATTGGTTTCTAAATGCCTTTACTTTACAAGGTAAATATACATGAATGTTCCATCACAATTAATACAACAAACGATTGATCAGAAATATTTTCTGAGTGTTTTTGAAGTTTTTAATAAGGAAAACACTATCTAGAAATGTGCCGTTCGATTTGAATAATTCGATTAAATTTCCTACTAATGTTGTTGTTTCATTTGATTCCACTAGAGGGCGCCCTCATCTAGCTTTGAAGGCAGCACCACTGTCTCTCTGTGCTCTTTATAATACAGCTTTAAACTATAACCATAAGGAAGCTATCTGCAGACAAAATAAAGCTTTAGGTAACATCTCATCTTGGGTGATTCAGAATTATTTTCCACCCAACTCAATTTTAAATATGTAGCCAGATTTCACAAACCACGTTGTATCATACTCTGTTATAATATAGATGGATTGCAAACATTAGTATTTCAAGCAACTTCTAGGAATGTTCAAACAGACAGGAGTCAGGGCTGGATAAGATATTTAGATCCTTTACTTAATGAACAATATGAAGACATATGGGGGCAGCATTGCACCCTTCAATACTGAGTCAATACAACCTAAATGTACTATTGACTGTCATAATCTTTACATATGCATCAGCTTTCACATTAGCCATCTGTGCGTTTGCTATACCAGTAAACGGAGGCTGTTAAGTCTGTGTAATTGAACGTTTGTTTACTGGTCTAAGCCCAAAAGGTAAGAAAATACAAAATGACTTACACCTTCTTTTCGTCTGCCGCATGTCAAGAAGGCCACCCAGTTGGCATTTCAGCAGATTACTCACACATATGTCTTAATGACATACAGCCAACACTGTAAGCTATTCACATTCTGTTGATGATGTTAGTTCAAAATCAGCCGTGACCATGACGTTTGTATTGTTTCAGCTTGTGAGTGTGTGTGTTTGTGTGTCATCATGGCAAAATGTGCTCCTGGAGAGGAGACACCTCCTGTAGCAGGAATTACTACAGCAGAGCACTTTGAAAAGTGTTGCCACTCACCCAAGGTCAAGTTCAAAGCGAGCAATGGTGCCAGAAGTAGGGATGTGGGAAGTGGAGAAAGGGGCCAGTGGATCCCCCATTTAACGTGAGATAGTCTCAGGTTGCTTCACTGTTTTTAACTAAAGAATTGTCGCATACAACTTACACATTGCCTCTTTAAAGAAAAGTATTATCTGTAGAACGACACTGAAGAAAGAGGCAAAGAAGAGGCGCAAAGTACGAGAGGGAAACACCAGGTGAGGATGAATCTCATGGAGGACAAAGATACAGATCAAAAACATCTGGATTGAGGCACCAACAGCAAGGCAGAGGGACGGCCAATGGTCCAGCAAACCCATGTCAACAATGGGTCAAAGAGACACCAGGAACTGGTAGGTCATAACGGGTCTTTGTTCAGCCCATAAAATATAATGCAACAAAACAAACAGGATTTTAAGCTACAGGCGCAGAGTTAGAACAACGTCCTGTTTGACACAGTCAACAAAACCCTGATTCACCAGGTTGTGTTGCCTTTGTTTGACTTTGTGTTAACCTGTCACGGATACGCACAAAGTGGTTTTTTTCAATGTCCAGTTGAGCAAGGTTAATGAGATCCCTCAAGCCAATTGTGCAGTAATCTGTGACTACTATTACAAACAAATAAATAATGACAATTAGTCTGACCCAAATAAAAAGTATTTTTTATCCATGTCAGCTTTATCTCTGTGCGTCATCTGCCTCAACGTTAACCATAGAGTGCAGGTCTTAATGTGCCGGGCTAATGTCTTGTTCTCTCCGTTAACTATCCTGATCTGTAATTAGATATTATTGCAGGCCGATCAACATGCAGTAACACAAGCCTTCACTATACATTACTGCTCTGATGCCACTCCCTCTGTCATTAATCCCTATCTTTGATCAGTGTCAGTGACGGTGAAATAGCAGTCTGAGATGAAAAAAGTTATCCACAGTTTCTTTAGAAACTTCTTAACACACTAATTTCTTAAAAAGTCTGTGTTTAATTCTATCCCTCATCTCCCTTTTTATCTTTTTCATCCATCCTTTATCTTTGCTCTTTCATATGACAGATCCGTTCCCAAAATACAACCACTATTTTTAACGCAGCACAGCTTATTCTGTAATGGATCGCTTTTCTGAGTTCAGCCCAAGAATTTGCCTCATCCTGCCATCCATAATGGATGAGAGGGCCTGATGAAAGACAGCGAGCCTGCACGACGGGGGAAAAGTGATTAATGGAAACCTCATTAGAAACTGGAGAGAAATCAAGCTATTCGTTATCCGCAAGTTGGGAATAAACACCATCAGGTTGGATGTGTAATGTGGGGGTGTGATAAGAGATGTAGAGTTGGAAAAAGAATCTCGCTAATTACTTTGTGAGAGATGTGAAATATTTGAGAGACATTTTCTTAAATAAATAGATTTGTTTGATGACATGATGAGATTATTTTTGTTTCCATCCGTGGTAGCTGAACATTAGTTACTACTGACGAATGAGTGTTCTTCCAAGGACAATTACTGTGATCCTCTAAATCACAACATCTATATTGTTTTGGTTTATTGTAAGTCTTTATATGCGCTGACAACACAATGTCAGTCCATGTGTCTGACAAGATTATCTATCCAAAATGAAAAGTGTTAGTTTTGCTTGATCAGTTTTCCATCAACATAATCTCTGAACTTTAGACAGAAAAGGTAAGCTTGAGGAAAAAGTCTCAGAGAAGAATTTAGGGATTCTCAGTTAAATTAAATAAATAAAAATATCAAGCAAAAACATGCAGGCTAACCTTAGCTGCTTTGAGATGATAAGAGAATAATTTACTTCTGATTTTGCCTTGTTTCTAAATTAAATGATATGTTCTCCTCTGGCCCAGGTTAAGCAGTCTGTAATCAAATCCCTAGTGTTTCTATAATCAGACCGTAACAATATTGGACAAAAAGCAAATAAGGTACCATCATTGCCGAATTTTAAGTGAATACAAAGTTGAGGTTTTGTGAATCTTGTTGATTTTCATTATGTAAAGCCTAAATGTTTATATTAATTTGCCCACAGCCTTTCTGGAAAACATCAGAAGTCTTAGAGTCGAGCCAATCCAGCAGCTGCCATCAAGTGGCAATGGTACGACTCAATTCTACAAAACACATTTTCTGTGGAAGTCACAAAATCCTGAAACCTTCTACATGATCATCACTACTATAAAAAGAGCTACCAAATCCTGGCGTACAATGTCATGTTTTCAATGTGTGCTTCATTGTATCCTGCTGGATCCAGTTACCCTTTAGCCACTCGTGGTTTCAAAGCCCTTTTATGAATGTTGCCAACTTGCATAAACATGATGACTGCCTCTGATAGCTGTCAGTGTTTTCAGTCATTCAATGCATCTGCCTATACCAAATAAAACATAAATATTGAATATGATAATTGCATATTTATTCATTATCATCTTTCAATGTTGATATTTTTCTGTACTGCCGTTTGTTTCTGATCTGTCGTGCTATTTGAATTTGAGAGAGAAAGCAGAAGAGAAGAGTAGATAGAGGGAGATTTTAAATAAAGGGCAACAGTTGGACCCTTCAACACTAATGTCCCTGTTTTTCTCAAAAAGGAGGGAAATAAAATGAACGTTTTCTTTATAGAAAGCTGAAGCGTTGAGTTGAATCAGATGCGTTAGACTCTGAAGCTATTCGGTTGTTTTAGAGACCAGAATCATTTGCTTACATGCTTGTGTGAACATTCGTGTCTAAAAATAGAGGTCAGAGGTAGCATGTTCACCTGTGTGAGCATGTGTGGGTGCTCAGCCATGCTTGCTGGATGAGATTATTGATGCAGGACAACATCAAGGTGATGCTTTGCTTTTTGTTACACAAAATCATTATTATCACCAAGCCGCAGAGTTTGTTGCATCCCTCCCTGCTTTTGTTATCTCTTTCTTTCACTTGATGAATAGCTGACCTGGGCACCTTCAAAAATCCAATTTGTTAGACAAAGGCTCCAAATATGACAAGGGATTGAGGGCAGACAGATTGAGAGAGATAGGGAAGAGGAGAAAGCATGTAGAGCAACGAGGATTACTGTTGGAGGTGAAGAAAGAAGCAGGCAAGGATGGAAGGAAACAAACAAAGAGAGTAAAGGAGGAAGGAAAGAAAACAGAAAAAACATGACAGAAAAACCCAAGATTCTGAATGAGAGCTAGATTCCATGAAGGAACTTTATACCGACTAATGACAGGAAGGGTGGCTTTGACAAGAGTGCCTGGCAACAAGGGGAGTGTTTACCTGTGATGAAGGGCAGAAAGATAAGGAGACTGAGAGGTCGATGTATTACAGGTAGATAACGTGAGGGAGGTAAAGTTCAGGAGGTATAGAGTGTCACCCTAAGGACCAGGAGATAGTGAGGGGGGGCAGAGGGGCAGGAACTCAATCCCAAAGCCAAGACATCAGCTGAAGATAAAAACCGTCCTCACCTGAACGCACAAGAGCGTGGTGAAGCACTGAGGAAAACTGCTGGAGGAAGTACTAGGACAGAGAGGAGAACATAGATGCATATACCATTTATTTTTCCTTAAATCACTTCAATTATTCTCGTTTTTGTTTTATTACCTGGAACCAAGAAAATACTTCCACTTTTATCAAGAGGGCAGGATTTTAAAAAAAATAATTTGATTTTACAAAATCTATTAACAAGACCTTTTTTGGAATTATAGTACATAAACTTATTATTATTATTATTATATGTACAGCACTTTGGCTCGACCAAAAATCGTTTATAAATGTGCTATATAAATAAAACTTGATTTGATAAACACCAAAAAACAAAAGCAAGAGCAGAAGAAAGAAGAGCAGGGTAGAGGCAAGAGAGTGTGTGAGGGAGGGGGAGGGTGAGCGAGGTAGAGAGAGAGAGAGTGTGTGTGTGTGTGAGCCTGTGACACCGAGATGTTCATGATCATTCGTGAGTCGTCGTCCGCCGGAGGAGGCGGTGCAGGAATGAGCGTGCCGCACGAGAGGAGTGCAAAACAGGTGCGTTAATATGGGTGTTAGGAAGTGTATAATAGTGTGTTTTAGTGTATGTTTATAAGATTGCACTTGTAAATTTACAAGTGCAATGTTATAAACAAATGAAGTGATGCTTTTCTGTGTACAAATCTGCATCACAATACATATACTTTTACTAAATCTTGCATGCATTTATGATAGTCTTCCTTCTAAACTCAATCTCCAACATATGGTAACTTAAACATATTGAAGTGTAATTGATGTAACTGATAAATAACTGTTTTCTAGTCCAAAACACAAAGCTCTATTTTTGT